AAAAAGGGGGGGGATGGTGGCACGTTCCCCCTAGACGGCAGCTCAGCTGCATTGTTTCCAGGTGAGGGTGAAGGTGAGGGAGCAGGGGAGGGTGAGGGGGGAAAGGAGGAGCGAGGAAGGAGTGATTCTGAGTGGTTGGTTCAGGGAGCTGCACGATTTCATATGAAGCAAGCTCTGCTGCTGTCAGGTGAGCTGCTGGTGGGATGATCTTGAGGTGACGCCTTGCGAGCAGGAGAGGAGAACAAGACAGGAGCGGGAGGAGGAGCAGAGGAGTCGGTGTACCTGACGTGAGGCAGGAGGGCGAGGATGAAGCTCCTGATGCCTACCCAGGGAGATGCGCGAGAGAGAAGCAGCTGACGCCCCCTGCTCTCCTCTTCCTCTTCTCTTCCCCACGTCTACTGTCGTGGAGGACGTGGAGGGAGAGGACGAGAGCGGGGAAGGTGGTCGGGTGCTATCGCGGGTCTATCTGCTGGACAGGGAGGACGGGGAAGGGACGATGATAGTGAAGCAGACGAGTGACAGAAGCTCCTTGCGTGAAGCCTTCGTCCTGCGTGAACTGATGTTCGCCTCTCCGCGAGACCAAAGCGGAGTGAGTCTCCTCCTCCTCTTCTTCTTCTCCTCCTCCTCAAGCAGCAGAAGTAGCGGCTCCTTCCTCTTCTGTTTCCTCCTCTTCTCTCTCACGTCATCTTGCCTTCCCCTCTCCTCGTTTTGTGAGTCTCCTCAGGTTCCTCTTCCCTTCCCCATAGTGTTCGGCGACAAGCAGGCAGCTGGCTGGAGCGCCTGCGCACTCCAGAACTTCGAGGGAAGGACGCTGCTGCAGGCCATCGAAGAAGACCCGGAGCTGTTCAAAGAGGTAGGAGAGGGTGGAGGAGGAGAGAAGGAAGGGGAGCGGGTGCGAGAGGAGGGGGAAGGGGAGGAGAGGAGTCTCATGGGAGGCAGGACGGCATGGCGTTCGACGTGATCGACAAGCTGCTGGTGGGGCTGGGTCAGCTGCAGGCAGCGGGAGTGACTCACCGGAGGCTGACGGGAGAGAACGTGATGCTGGTGGCTGGTGATGTGCCGGCCATCGTCAACTTCGACATGGCGGTGGCGCGAGGAATGCCGTTCGAAGCTCCTCCTCTCCCTCCCTCCCTGCAGCAGATGTATGCTGGAGTTGATGGTGAGGTGAGAACCGGAAAGAGGGATGGTGGAGGTAAAACAGTGAGTGAGTGAGTGAGTGAGTGAGTGAGTGAGTGAGGGAGGGAGGGACAGGAGGCGGAGACCCTTCCGCGGGCTGGGTCAGCAGGGTGACGGACTTGCGGCAGGACCTTCCTCAAGAGAGCGATGTCTTCGCGCTGGCCTTGACGTTGGAGCAGACGATGCCACCGATGCGGTGAGGACATGAGAGTAGAGGGGACGAGTTGGGGTGAATGATGCCATGTGCGGAGACCGGAAGGAGGAGGAAGTGAGGGGTGTGGAGGGGGAGGGGAGTAGTATGGTATTGGTATTGTATTGGTATTGGTAGTGGTAGTGGGAGGAGGAGGAGGAGGAAGATTCCTCCGCTCATTTAGGTTGGCAGCACAACATTTGCTCCTGTGCTGGAGGTGATGAAGAAGAAGTGGCGCCCTGAGAGGATAACCCACATCCAGTCCCTCAGACTTCTACTTGGTGACATTCCCCCACCTGCTCCTGCTCCTCCTGCTCCTCCTGCTCCTCCTGCTCCTGCTCCTGCTCCTGCTCCTCCTCCTCCTCCTCCCTGCTCCTTCCTGCTCCTCACGTTTCTCTGACTCACAGATGTCAGGCTCCTTTATCGAGAACAGGACCGACCTGGTAGAGTTCAGGTCGAAACTCTTGCGATGCAGGGGAGACTACGAGCAGCAGGCGCGGCAGTTCCCGGGCAACGGAGTTCCTCCCAACAACCTCGGTTCCGTCTACTTCGACAGTCAGATGCTCAAGGACGCCCTCGCGCTCTTCCTCGCGGCGGTTCCCCTCACCCTGCCCTTCAAGTCGGGGGCCAAGAGCAACATAGCGGCGGTGAGGAAGATGATGTGTCACTGGGACCACTACGAGGAGGACGCGCGGCATGTCATCGACACCATCAACGAGGGAGGGGAGGAGGTTCACAGCATCCGCAACCTCTACGCCCTCGCCCTCAACCTCTCCATGCACCAGCACGTCGCAATCTCCTCCGCCGGGGCCCATCACTCCTACAAGCGCGGGCTGAAGGAGTGGAGGCTCCTCCGCCCCTCCCTCTCCCTCCCCTCCTCCCGCCCTCACATGGTCCTCGCCTACGTCAGCTCCGACCTCCTCACCGGCCATGCCGTCGCAGGCAGCATGAGGAGAGTGATGGAGCTACACGACCATCGCCGATTCCAGGTCCTGCTGGTGGTGCTGCTGGTGCTGGTGGTGCTGGTGGTGGTGGTGGTGCTGGTGGTCCTGCTGGTGCTGCTGGTGCTGCTGGTGCTGCTGCTGCGCCTCCTTCTTGTGCATCTTCCCCGCCTGTGTCGTACACGCGAGTCACGTGGCAGCAGGTGTGGGTCTACGGGGTCAAAGTCGATCAGGCGGCTGCTGCTCTCGCTGACCCGCGACGGGCTGGTCTCGGACCCGCTCAGTTCGTTGACGCGTCACGAGCAGAGCAGAGCGAGCTCGCGCAATGGATCAACGACGCGGGTAAGAGAAGAATCAAGGCGAAGGAGAAGAAGAAAGAGCGAGAGGAGGGAAGAAGAGGCGGGAGAGGAGGAGGAGGGAGAGGTGGTGGAGGAGGAAAAGGGAGGAAGCAGCAGGAGGAGGAGGAGGAGGAGAGCTGACCTCATTGAAATACTCAGGCACGCATGTTCTCATTGACTGCAACGGACAGACTGGAAGAGAATCGCTTCCTGCCTTCTCGATGCGTCCAGCTGCCATCCAGGTGCAACAGCAAGGAAGCGGAGAAGGAGTTGGAAGGGAGGAAGAGCAGGAGGGAAAGGGAGGAGGCAGAGAGCAGAGAGCCAATGAGGGAGGAGGGAGGAGGGAGGAGGGAGGAGGGAGGGAGGAGGGAGGAGGGAGGAGGGAGGAAGGGGGAGGGGAGGGAGGAGGGAGGAGGGAGGAGGGAGGAGGGAGGAGGGAGGGAGGAGGCGTCACGAATGGTCACAGGCCCTCTCCTCTGCAACTGGAACCAGCACTTCAAGCTCGACCCTGAATTCTTCGCTGTCTGGGTGGTGAGACTTGACGCCTCGCTTCCTTCCCCTTCCTGTCTCGCATCATCCTCATCTTCTCCCGTTCTCGTTGCCCTTACTTCTCTGTTAATCGTCTCTCACTTGCTCCTTCAGCGCATCCTCATGCAGGTGCCTAATAGCACGCTCGTTATGCTCAAGTACCCCGAGGAGTCTGAACCTCACCTCCGTTATGCTGCAAGAAAAGTAGCAACCTGCTCCTCCTGCTCCTCCTCCTCTTGCTCCTCTCCTCCTTACCCTCCTGCTCCTGCTCCTGCTCCTTTCCTCCTTACCCTCCTGCTCCTGCTCCTGCTCCTTTCCTTCTTACCCTCCTGCTCCTGCTCCTACCCCTTCTACTCTCCTGGTCCTACTCCTGCCCGAGCTCCTGCGTTTTCTCTCTTCTGCTACTCATGCAGCAGCAGCTGGGGCTGACGGGGGAGCGGCTCATCTTTCTGCCGAAAGCTTCTCTGACGGAGCATCTGATGCGCACGAGCTTCTGCGACCTCTTCCTCGACAACAGAGAGTACAACAGGTGAGAGCCCGAGCATGAGGAGAACCGCAAGGAGACCGCGGGGGGGGCAGCAGCAGCAGCAGGAGCAGATGCCGATGATGGATGGGACAGATGTAACGGTTGCTGCTGCTGCTGCTGCTGCTGCTGCTGCTGCTGCTGCTGTGGTTTGGTTCCATGAGCAGGAGCAGGAGCAGGAGCAGGAGCAGGAGCAGGAGCAGGAGCAGGAGCAGGAGCAGGAGCAGGAGCAGGAGCAGGAGCAGGAGCAGGAGTAGGGGCAGGGGCAGGGGCAGGGGCAAGGGCAGGAGGGGAGGAGGAGAAAGGGGGAGGAGGAGGGAGCGAGAGTAGATTTACATGGTCCTAGTGGCACGACCTGCACGGACTCCCTCTGGGCTGGCGTCCCGACCATCAGCATGCCAAGGATGAAGCATGCGGTGAGAGGCCGAGAAGCTTCTCACTCTCTCGTGTTCTCACTCCTCCTCCTCCTGCTCGCAGAGCCGACATGCTGTCTCGATGCTGCAGGCGGTGGGAGGAAACGCGCAGCTCCTGCAAGCTCGCAACTTGTAAGAGGAGAGGAAGAGATGATGTGATGATGTCATGCTCTGCAGAGAAGAGTACGAGAGCATGTCTGTGCTGCTCCTGCGAAAGGTGCGATGGTGGGAGCGAGTGCATGAAGCCATTGTTTCGTCACGCAATGTGAGCTAGAGGAGGAGGAAGGGGGTGTGGACAAAGAGGGTTGTGGAGGGTCGCAGGGGATGGGAGGTGGGAAGTTTCGAGAAGGGAAAAGGAGGAGAGATTGAGGAGAGCAGGAGGACAGGTTGGGATGGGTTGGGGGGAAAGGAGGGGGGGAGGGGGGGGCTGTGAGGAGGAAGGAGGTGTGATGGAGGAGGTTGAGGAGAGGAGGAGGAGGAGGCTGAGGGGGAGGAGGGGGGAGGAAGGGCAGGGGCAGGGGGAAGCGTCTTGTCATGGCGTTGGCTGTTTCAGGTCTCCGTCCTCTGGGATCCCTCGGTGTGGGTCAGAGACGTTGAGCGCGCGCTCATGGTGGCATGGGAATGGCATGTCGCCGCTGTGGAGGAAGACCCGGAGCCCTCGTCCTCAGAGGACGCGCCTCCTTCCCTTGACTCCGCTCCTCTCGTCCCGCAGCCCCCGAGCTACCGCACGGACAAGTCGATCCGGTGAGTGAAGGATGACGGCTGAACCTTGGGAGTGTGGGAGTGAAGCGGGTGGGAGAGGCTGAGGGAGAGATGAGAGGAGGATAGGGGGCAGCAACGGCAAGGGGTAGGGGAGGGGAGGGGTATGCTGGGAGGAGAGGGGAGGGGTATGCTATGCGGTGACTGGAGCAGGAGATCCGAGCTGAGGTTGGAGCAGGTGGTGCGAGTCGCAGCACAAGAGCATGGGCGGGGGCCTTGGAAGTGTCAGCGCCACTACGGTGACGTCACGAGCTCGTGGCCCCTGCTGAACTTGTGCGCAGGGCATGTGGTGGTCGCCAACGTGGGAGGAGAGGAGCAGGCAGGGAGTGCGAGGAAGCAGGTTAAGGCGCAGGTCTCGCCCAGGGATGCCGCAGGACAGGCAAGTCACTCTCCAGCCCTGTCGAGACGGGAAGAAGCGAGCAAGGGACAGGGGAAGGGAGGGAAGCAAACGACAACAAGAGGAGCTGAGATGAAGGCAGAGGAGGTGGAGCGAGCGACAGCATGGATGCCTTTCAGTTGAGCGCCTTATAACCAGGGGAGATTTACTGTTATGATACACCCTGAGAGAAGTAAAACATCCGTACAAGCTTGCAAGTGCGATCACCGATGATCGAATCATGAGCCTGAGCTTGCTCGATCAATTGACTATCAGACTCACTACTAGCGGCAACTTGTTGAGTGCTAAGACTAACATCCGACTGAGTCAGCGGGAGCACTGACGGACGCCGCCCGGCCGGACTCGGCACTCGGCGACGGGCCGCAGTATGATCATGGCGGTGGCAGTGGCGCCGGGTCAGACTGGCGGACACCCGGCGTACTACCTACTTTACTTAAAGTTAAGTTAAATCAGAAGGTACTACCGCTTCCGATGCCCCGGCCCCCGGTTTGGCCCGGAGCTTCCCGGCGGGCCGGAAAGACAGCTGCGCACGTGACCCGTAGGGCAGCGAGTGTGAAGATAGTAGCATAACACTATTCCCCCCTGCTGTCCTTGCCTAGCGACTCGATTGAGTAAAAAGATGTCAATAATAGCCTCGATTTTTTTTTTGCCAAAGACTCTTGGAAGGGGGGAGCTGATTCGAATCGTTGAGATCTTAATCCGCTGACTCAATCTCAAGATTATTCATGAACGATACCGGAAATCACGTGTTTTCGCGTCCAGATGTGGTGCCCAATTTCTTCTACGTCCGCCGATCCATCCTGTGACTAGAGTGGGCCTGCCTCAGAATGATTCTGTACAAGACTCGGGGGTCGGGGTGGGTGGAGGGTACGGGTAGGTGGACGGGGGGCTGTAAAAGAGGACATCGGCAGCGAGAGCTACAGAAGGGGACGAGAAGGTGTGTTGTCCGAGGGCCTAGGGCCGGGTGTCGGGGCTCCGGCTGGGACCTCTCAACCACCGGTAGGGTACGGCCTTGATAGTATGGTGGGTAGTGTGCAAGACATCGGGGACGAGGTCCACTGGGGGAGAGCGTGCGCCTTAGTCACGGCACATGGCGGTCGAGTTACAACGAAACGTTGTAATAATAGAGCTTTTCGGCTGAAACGCAGCTTTCTCGTCGCCGGGAACGTCCGTCGGGGAGTCTCATGGGGGGTAGCAGGGTGGTGTTTGAATGTTGATGTGCCTCCACCCCCCTACAGGGTGGGTTCTGGTGGCTGGGGTAGGGTAGTGAATTACCAGTTAGGACGTAGAGAGGATGCCACGGGGTGTAGCAAGGTTTATACCTTATCCGAGCTCCTTTTGATGGTAAAAATGTGATATATGTAAATTTAATATTATAAATATGTTTTTAAATGAGGCCACGTCCCTCTGCAAAAACTTGGTTTTAGCGATGGAGACGGTGTAGGAGGAAAAGAAGGTCTGAGGTGACTCTGGAAGGGGAGGGGTCCTTGAGAGTTAGAGCTGGAGGGGTGATGGAGATTTGAGGGGGTACACCCTGCATGGGTGGTCTAAATGGGGGGTGAGGTGTGTCATCTCCCCTAGGCCTTATCCTTGAGTGCGAGGGGTGCACTTGATAGGAGCGGGGGGTGGGGTACTCCGCTCATCTCGGCTTGCTCCGGTGGATAGGTGTATGTCGAATTGAGGGGTAATTAATCGTGAAGGGGGTCCTTCATAAGACTTTTGTTAGGAAGAGGGGGTGGGGGTAGTATGGTTGTTCCCTCTCCCTTGGTTTGATCGCACCGTGATCGCTCGTGATCGAGGGGAACCCAAAGAGGGTGGGTGGTGGTCAGGGTCCACAAGTCAAAGGGTAGGGTACATGGGCGGTGCCAGTACAAAGTACCTGCACCAGTACCCCCCTATGAGATAGTAAAGCGGTTCTTGATTCCTTGCTCGAGGTGGTATTGGTCGTGGATAGGGGTAGAATGTGGAGGAGTAGGGGGTAGGGTGATCAGTGGGTGCTTCAATCTTTGGGTGGGGCGATGAAGGTGGGTGGCCCCGATCAAGAGAGATTTCCAGGGTGGGTAGTGTCATTCATCGAGGGATGAGGGTAGGGTGGAACAGGGTAGGGTTATAAAATTCCCTTCGGAGGATTGGATGTGAGGGTCAGTGAAAGCATGCAGGGAGTGGGATGCGGATGCTGAGAGAGTGGAAGAGAGGCGACGAGAGAAGAAGCGAGAGGAAGAGAAGAAACCACAACACGAGCGAGTGATAGAAACTGATAGATAGAGAACCATACAAGACCTAAGATTGTCTGCACAGAAGTTCAGCTCAGCACAGATCGGGATTCAAACTGAGTACTGGGTTAGCGTGAGGTGACAGGGAGCATGAACATCTCGATCATATCTCGCTCTTTCGAAATGATTCGAAAAAATTCGCTTTCGGACAACTCGCTTCAGATCACCAGGCAAAACAGCGATTCGAGCATTCACCACAAACAGATCCGATCGGCACTGAAAACGAAAGATCGTCAGAGTCTGAGCCTTCAAGTCCGCTTTGACCTGCCGTCGGATCTTGGTGAGAGACCGGCTACAACTCCCTGCCGCCTGGCATCCTCTCAGAACTTTTCGATCCTTTGTGGAACTCTGACGTCGAACCAGAGGAAAGTTCTGATCAACTCGATGAAGCGGCTCAAGCTGGACCAGGGGGACGTGCTCTTCAGGCAGGGGGATCGAGGGAACACGATCTACTTCATCGGTCGAGGAGCGTGTATAGTGAAGAGAAACCATCTTGACTCAGCCCGACTGAACCAGGGTGACTACTTCGGGGAGGTGGCGGCTCTGGCCTACCTTGAGGACAAGAAGCAGCCGTCCGGCATCTCCTCAGAATTCCCCGAGCGATGTGCGGACGTCATCGTTGCGACGGAAGGATGCATCATCTACGAGCTTTCGGGAGATGACTTCTGCACCATCTTCGGTGACAACGAGGACGCGCTTTCGCTGCTGAGGCAGATAGCGCATGAGAGGTTGACTGAGTCCCCCGGCAGCAAGATGCACCGAACATCCATCTAGAGCTCACGAGCGAACTGAGTGTACATATGTTGATAGGAGGTAGTTTGCCTGAGTTTGTGATTCAAAGTTGTATTTATACTAAAGTTTGTCTGATTGTACACATGTTCCTTTCATGACAAACTGTACATTGTTGCCTCCCTCGCAAACATATCTTCTGTGATGGTTTCTTTCTACATCGTGTCTCATCCCACGTATTCGTAGAGAGAGCTTTGCTGCTGTTCGTCCACTTTCTTGTCCATGAGTGTTTTCATCTGCATCACTTCATTTGTCTCCTCCTCCTTTTCCACTCTCTTACCAGCTGCCGCTCCCACCCATGAAGAGCATCAAGCTCCTTCAGGTCGACGAGCAGCTTCCGGCCCTTGCCGTCTCTGCGTCAGGTTCAGCCAGCAACGAGGTAAGGAGGAGGGGAGCTGGGGGGAGACAAGTAAGAGCTCAGGAGGAGGAGCAGACGAGGAGGGGCAGGGGAGGAAACGAGGAGTAGACCTCTGCTGGAGCAGGTCGACGTCGGATACCACCACCTGTTGCACGTGCATCACTGCAGGAGGCAGTCAGACGTTGTCACGCAGGGAGCCGGGAGCTCACCGGTCTCAACGGATGGGACGAGAGCTCGAGGGTCTCCCCTCCCTCCTCCCGGACTGACGGGGTTGACAACCTCAGGGCTGCTGAGACACGACGAGTGACAAGGAAGAAGAAACGTCAAAGTCAGAGAACCGAAGTCGAACAAAGCCACCGTCGCTCCTCGCCTCGTAGACCTCCTCCTCCTCCTCATGCTCCTCCTCCTCCTCCTCCTCCTCATGCTCGTTCTCCCCTAGGTTGTGAGAGAAATGCTGTAGTAGCTCTGTCCGAGCTTGGCCTCGTGAAGCCGATCGGTCGCCATGCTGTCGGCAAGTCAGACGTGTGCGGCTGGTCGTGTTCTCACTTGAATCCAGTCGAGCACGTGCTGAGCCTCGTGGGAGGAGGCAGAGAAGAAACCTGTTGGATGATGAGGGGGAGAGGAGTACAGAAGCTCGACAACTGCTGAGGGAAGTATTTCGTGTTTCAAAGGATCGAAGGGAGGGAGGGAGGGAGGGAGGGAGGGAAGGAGGGAGGGAGAGCTTTGACCTGACAGTGCGATCTCGTTGCTTTCTGTACAGGTCAACTCCTTGAGGTTTCAAGTCACAAGACTAAAGGGCAGGCGGAGTTCAACCTTGATCGCTTCTGACGCGAAGATTTCATGAGCGAGCTTCTCTCGGATCTGAAGTCTCGTGAGGAGATAAGGAGGGAGTGAGGGATGTTATGTGCAGATGTGGTTGCGGAGAGAGGAGGACGCAGAAGGAAGAAAGAGGAAGGGAGATGAAGGACAAGAGGAGGAATCGGAAGTGAGGATTATGAGTGGAAAGGAGGAGGGAGAGGAGGAGAAGGAGAAGGAGAAGGAGAAGGAGAGAAGAGGGCATGGGGAGAAGAGACGAGGTCAAGTGCGGGAAAGAGCGGAGAGGAAGGAAACGGTGGAGGTCATGTTAAGACCTTTGCTAACTTGATCCTGGAGTTTTGATCTATCAGTGCCACAATCTGATAGAGGGTCTCCCCTCCCCTTGAGCAGCTCCTGACGCCCAAGTCCTCCAGCAGGAACTTGAGCCTCCCGGTCTCGTGAAAGACCCTGGAAATGGTGAGAGGAGGGAGGAGGAAGAGGAGGAAGCTGCTGCACCTGCGCAGGATGATGCTGATGTCTCCGTGCGTAAGAGCCTGATCGCCAACGACTAGGAGCGGGAGAAACATCTCCTCGTCTCTGAGCCACTGGGCAGGACAAGGAGGGATGCAGGAAGTAAGAGAAGGAGGAAGAGGGAAGGAGGAGGAGGAGGAGGAGGAGGAGGAGGAGGAGGAGGAGGAGGAGGAGGAGGAGGAGGAGGAGGAGGAGGAGGAGGAGG